GATTCCATTTTTTTAATGGACCTTCCTTAGTTTTTAAGATTTTTCCTCTGTGCCAGTTTCCATGGTAATGGGAATAAGTATGCTTTTCTTACTGTTACTCTTGCTTGCTGATTGCGCACTTTATTGCCACCACATGTACTTGTTGCTTTCCATTGTTGAAAGATGCCTTCCTTTTAGAACTGATTTGGAGAAAATGTTGGACTACCCTTTGACAAAGTGTGCCAGTCCTTATTTGGAAGGCAACTTTCTTAGCAGATTACCAGGAACTGTAAAGTAGTATGTACTGATTGATTTAAATAATATTTTCAAATAGATGTTGCATTGGTTAAAAATTAGATACATGATTCCAAATTATCAGTATAACACCTACTTAAATAACAAAGACGTTAACCAACTAACAATAAATTTACTTTATTGTTGTCTGTTCTCCATACAGAAATATAAGTGGTAGGTTCAGACATATTGGCCAGTATCATTTTCCATAGTTCTGCCAGTGCAGCAGGAGTAACATCACTTAAGAGTGGCTGATTGCTGCAAATTAGAATTCCTGCTTTGTGTGTGTGACTTTGTCTTATTGCACATGACTCACATGCAATGTAAAATCGAAGCAGGAAGTCATAAATTAGCAACAGTCTCCTGCCGACAGTGATGTCACTCTCATTGCACCCAAGGAATTACAGAACTGTATACTACTTATTTCAGCCTCCCAAACTCTGGAATAGGAGTCATATATACAGTATGTAGGTGTGTTTTTCCCCCCTAATAACATGTGGTAGTTGTTTTTGCCATGGTTACACATGGCAAATTTTCTATCAGAATATTAGTTTGCAAATTAAAATGGAATCATACGTTCAAAGCAAAATATAATATTCATCAGTTTAACACAGTTTCACCTTAACGTGAATCAAAATTTTCCCTTCCACAGAAATAGAAGGAAGATTTTTTTTTTTAGTGGAGCACAACATTTCTGATGGCAGAACAGGAAAGGTAACCATTTTTGCTGATTCTCATAGTTCCCCTCTTCCCTCTTATGCCTTCTAAAATCTGCTCTGAAAGGTTGGAAGATCTGCTCAAACAGTGTGGAAGATTATTCTGGGAGCTTTCAGGAGAGGGTAGAAAATTACTGGCTCCTTCCTGCAGGTGGGAGCAAGCTTTTCATTCATCCCATGATTGATGTACCATGTTCTGTCTAGAAACCAGTTGAAGAAAGAGGAGGAAAAACTAGCAGGTATATTGGCAGTTTCAAACCTAAAGATCCAATGAACTGCTGCATTGAAGTTTAACATGATCGTATATTAGAACAGGAAAATGAACGGCTGCATTGAAGTTTAACATGATCGTATATAGAAATTGTTGAATTTCATGACTGGGTATAGATCTTGTATCAGTTGTTATGTCTTGTCAACTCACTTCTGACTTAATGCTAATCCTGTGAATCAATGACCTCTGGAAAATCTTACCATTAACATGCTCAGCTCTTGCAAACTCAAGGCCGTGTCATCCATTTTTGAGTCAATCCACCTGTTCTTTTGTCTTTCTCTTTTCCTGTTGCTTAACTTTTCCCAGCGTTATTACCCATTCTAGTGAGTCTTGTCTTCTTGTGATAGGCCCACATTTTTGCTTTTAAAGAGAATGCAGGTTTTATTTGACCTAGCACCTCCTTATTTGTCTTTCTGGTGGTCCATGGCATCTGTAAAGCTCTCCTCAAACACTACACTTATTTACTTATTTGTTTGTTTATTTGGCTTTTACCCCGCCCATCTAGCTTCTAAACAAATCTACTCTGGGTGACTTACAGTCTGAGCAGTATAAAACCAAGAATTAAAACAAACAGTATCAAAACAAAAAAGAGAAATGTGCAAAGTCAAGATGGTAAAACACGTTCTTTTGTCTTTCTCTTTCCCTGTTGCTTAGCTTTTCCCAGCGTTATTACCCATTCTATTGAGTCTTGTCTTCTTGTGATGGGCCCACATTTTTGCTTTTAAAGAGAATGCAGGTTTTATTTCACCTAGCACCTGCTTATTTGTCTTTCTGGTGGTCCATGGTATCTGTAAAGCTCTCCTCAAACACCACACTTATTTACTTATTTGTTTATTTGGCTTTTACCCCGCCCATCTAGCTTCTAAACAAATCTACTCTGGGTGACTTACAATCTGAGCAGTATAAAACCAAGAATTAAAGCAAACAGTATCAAAACAAAAAAGAGAAATGTGCAAAGTCAAGATGGTAAAACACAAGAAACTAAGTGATGGAAGGGCACCTAGCACCTGCTTATTTGTCTTTCTGGTGGTCCATGGTATCTGTAAAGCTCTCCTCAAACACCACACTTATTTACTTATTTGTTTATTTGGCTTTTACCCCGCCCATCTAGCTTCTAAACAAATCTACTCTGGGTGACTTACAATCTGAGCAGTATAAAACCAAGAATTAAAGCAAACAGTATCAAAACAAAAAAGAGAAATGTGCAAAGTCAAGATGGTAAAACACAAGAAACTAAGTGATGGAAGGGGGGAAGGCCTGCTTGAAGAACTGTTCAGCTTTTACATAGTAAAATGCATAGTAATTAGGAATACTATAGTATAGATCAGCGGTCCCCAACCTTTTTGGGACCGTGGACCGGTTGGGGGCGGCTCCGTGCATGAGGGGGTGGGGGTTCCCCTGTGCTTGCGAGTGGGTGTGTAACACTCATGGGTGGGTGTGTTGTGCTCGTGGGTGGGCAGGGGAACCCCTGCGAGGGTGACACCTCTCTGTGCGTGTGGAGGGGGAGATCCGTCTCCGCAGCCCAGTCTTGGGAAGCCCACGGGGCCATGGAACAGGGGCTAAGGACCCCTGGTGTAGATGATCTTTGTCCTGGTTTCCAGTGACATATCCTTACACTTGAGAATGTTTCTAGTTCCTTCATACAGTCATATGAAGAAGAAAGTACACCCTCTTTGAATTCTATGGTTTTACGTATAAGGACATAAGAAAAAATCATCTGGTAATTAGCAGATCTGAAAATTAGGTAAATACAACCTCAGATGAACAACAACACATGACATATTACACCATGTCATGATTTATTTATTATTTAAAAGCCCAAATGGTGAAGCCATGTGTGAAAAATTAAGTACACCTTGTGATTCAATATATCTGTGAAAATTCTCAGTCATCCAGGTGAAGTTATCTGGTAGTTAAGTAATGGCAACTGGTCTTCTTTCTTATTAGGTTGAAACGTTTCGCTACTCATCCAAGGACTCACCCAAGACTGAAGAAGCTACTTGGATAAGTAGTGAATCATTTCAACCCAAGAAGAAAGAAATCCAGTTGTCCTAACTCAACTTCCAAATATGATTCAGTAGCTTTTATAACCACCTTTACCAGCAATAATTGCTAAAGTTATTTTCTACAGTATATGACTTTGTCAGTCTCTCATATTGTTGTGAAGGAATTTTATGACTTTGTCAGTCTCTCATATCGTTGTGAAGGAATTTGGGCCCACTCTTCTTTACAATCTAAAGAATTTAAAGTTGCTTCTGTTTATTGAGGTTTGTGGGTATTTATTTATGCACAACTCTCTTAAGGCCCTATCACAACATTTCAATGAGGTTGAGGTCTGGATTTTGACTGGGCCATTGCAACACCTTGATTCTTTCCTTTTTCAGCCATTCTGTTGTATATTTCCTGGTTTGCATAGGATCATTGGCCTGTTGCACGACCCAGTTTTGGGCAAGCTTTAGCTGTCAGGACAGATGACCTCACATTTGACCCTATAATGCTTTGGTATACAGAGGAGATCACTGTCGACTCAGTGACTGCAAGGTGGCCAGATCCTATGGCTGCAAAATAAGCCTAAATCATCACTCCTTCACCACCATGCTTGACAGTTGGTATGAGATGTCTGTGCTGATATGCTGTGTTTGTTTTTTTGTCAAACATGATGCTGTGCATTATGGCCAAACATTCTCCACTTTGGTCTCATCTGCCCAAAGGACATTGTTCCAAAAGTCTAGTGGTTTGTCCAGATGCAACTTTGCAAACCGAAGCCGTGCTGCCATTTTCTTTTTAGAGAGAAAAGACTTTCTGCAGGCAACCCTTCTAAACAAATCATACTTGTCCAGTCTTTTTCAAATTGTGCTGTCATGAACCTTAACATTTAATCTGCAAACTGAGGCCTGTAGAGTCTGAGATGTAACTCTTGGTTTTTTGCAATTTCTCTGAGCATTGCATGGTCTGACCTTGGACACTGACCTATACGTTGGTCACTAGTTGTTCTCTGATCTTTGCACTTTCTGAATTTTTCCAATGCATTTTCCAGCTCAGAAAACAAAAACATAAAATATGTTCTTTAATGTATGTTTTGGGACGAAATGGGTTTTGAAAAAAATATATTATGGAAGTGGTATAGACTGTAGAGCACTTCATGTCTTCAGCTCTAATATCATTCTATTTTGCAATACACTTGAAAGGTGCACGTTTATGGTTTAAAGTTTATCTCAGCCATATACTTTTTAACTAACCAACTAGCCATCTATCTGTCTGTCTCTCTGTCTGTCTCTGTTTGTTTAATTTAATTAATTAATCAGTTAATTAATACCACAGCACTAGCACTCAAGACACTTTATAACATTATTTTAAAAAACAGTTTCAACTGAGAATATAGAGGCCTAAATGTATTTGCTAATCTAGCCATTGAATCAGTGGCTGAATGGTACACTCTTCCTGCTTTTGCATTTCAGAGCCCCCAGCCATTCACACCTCACTGTAGACAACTTTTGTGAGGTATCCTTGACTTATCATGTTACACAGGTATACTAATTTACCATTTAACTGGGCCGCCTTCCTCAGAGATTCGTATTATAATAAAATTTGTTTGTCTTTAAGATGCCAGAAGACGACATTTGTCTCAAGCAACAAATTAATACAGCAAGACCTATGGAAAATCTCACAGAACGTTTTCTAATAAGGTGTGCTTTTAGCTATGCAAATATTGATTCTTTTTTTTCTTTTTCTTTTTCAAGAATATTCCCTAGAGAGTATCTTCTTCAGCAGATCCATCTTTATTCTTTAGCAGATCTGCAGCAGGTAAGTGGCTTCAATTTGTCTAAATACAACTGTGCGCACATAAACACGTGTTTGTGTGTGTGTGTATCTATAAAATAAATACACATAACATTTTGCAAGAAAGCATACTGCATTCATTTATTTAACTGCTCCTTGGACAGCTTTCTTGCTGTTGTTATACATTTATATTATTTTTCTTCCTCTCTGCACCCCAAACCTTTCATCATATAATTCAATTACGGTTGTTGCTGCTGGGGTGAGCCATCCCAGAATTTTGTTTTTAATCTCGCCAGAGCCTGATTATCAGTCTTCACTATACCACCACCCCTCCAATCTCATTTCATTAAGTTTGAAATCAGATTACCTGCTCTCTGTCAAAATGAAGATGTATTAGAAATGAGTGATAGGGTTGAAAAAACAAGATTAGAACCCCTGATGCCCCTAACAAAAATCCTTTTCAGGAAGTCTGGACTTCTACTATCCATTTGAGTAAATGGATCCATTTCATAAAATGTTAATTGATAAGAAAGAGTCAAGGAAATCAGGCAAGAAGAGTAGGCTTTATTGTGTTTGTAAAATTTGAAACGGTCTCTTCTTTAGGGAACAGTTTTGAAGGAAGTGGGGTAAGAAGCCATGAAAGTGGGGGAAGGGCTCGGCAAGGCCTACCTGAGTCGGAAGGACAGGGGACTATGGGATATTGCCGTGGCCGACTGTCTTTTGAAAAATACCATTGCTACCAGAAACATGATAGGATGCCATATTGTCAGTGTAAATTGTAAATACCTATATAGTACTGACAAAAAGTGTTGCTGGTTTTTTTGTACTTGCCTTCCCAAACAAGATGAGAAATTTAGTCAACACAATGGACCTAGCCTTTTCCATCACTTATGTGGATGTTAGTCATACTTAAATCATATTTAAAAAAAAACATTGGGACACAAAGTCATTAAAGTGTCTCATCAGTTTTGGTTGGACGTAGAAATCAGTATTACTGGTTTCAGATCCTGATTTGTATGACTGCTTTTGCAGAATTATTCTCGCTGTTGCCTTCCTTAGCTCATATTATGTTTATGCTTCTCACACCAGAGCTCTCTGCTGTTGAGATATGTGTTTCATTTGGTCTTGGTCCTCTATATCAATGGGTTACTAAGGGTCAGGGTATTAAACAGGAGCCCATGGACCCCCATACAGCACCACTTTCTGAACTCACCCCTCCAAGAAGGACCCAGAGCCACAATAAAACAGTACCTCCAGATCTCATGCCAGAGAAGGAACTCGGAAGAATATCATGGTTAATGATATCAACAGCCATGGAGAGTTTTCTGGTGTTGGTCATTCACAAGGCAATGAAAGCCATCTCCAGGCCTGAAGCCAGATTGAAATGGACTGAGATAATCTGTCTCATCCAAGTATGTCTGAGCCTGAAGCCAGGTCATGCTCTACTACCTTGCCCAGAAATTGAGTATTAGAGTCTAGTGGGTAACAACCCAGCACAGCAGGGTTCAAACAAAATTTCTGGAGTAGAAGTCTGACAAGTGCTTTTTGATGTAAAGAAGTCTTTCCCCGCTCCCTCTTGCCCACCTGATGTATGCTCCCCAGGCTGGGCTGCCTTGATAACCTTTAAATTGTGACAGTGTATCTAGTAACTGGCTAGATGATGCTGTACAGATCATTTCTTCTTTTTCTCTCTTTTATATAATTGTGTTAATTGAACCAGTTTACCTGTAGACTTTTGCGTATTGAGCCATTATTGTTTAAGGGGAACGTTCATTGGCTTTTGTTTGGAGGCTAGCAATATTTTAGCTGCTGTTCATGTATTCTCAGCTAGTTGATAAGTTGCATCAACCTGGGACTTTTTTCTAAATTAAAGGCAAAACACAGTCTATTATTCTAAAGGTGTATTTGCCAATTTCTGTACCGGCATGTTTTCGTTTAGGCTTCACATGCTTTGAAGAGCACCAACCATATATGGTTCCACTTCAAATATGCTGCAGAAATTATAGTCTGTTATTAGTTTGTTTGTTGCATTTATATTCTAATGAGCTCAAAGTGGGATCCTCCTCCTTTTCTTCCCACTTCATCCCCACAACAACCCTGTGAGGTGGGTCAGATAGAGCAGCTGTGACTTCCCCAAGATCTCCCCAGTCCCAGTTCCAGTACTCTAGGTTTGTACAGTGGTGCCTTGATTTACGAACCTAATCCATCCCAGAAGATGTTCGTAAGTCAAAACATTCGTAAGTCATATCAACATTTCCCATAGGAATGCATTAAAATCCGATTAATCCGTTCCAGTTGTTTTTTGTTCTTATGTCGAGGCACGGTTTGTAAGTCGAAGCATTCGTTCCCATAGGAACGAATGCAAAACCGGTTAATCCGTCCTCTACCACTAGGGGAAGAATTTTTTCTTCTTTTAACCTAAAATGAATTTAGGTTCAAAAAAGATCAGGAAAGGAGGGAGGGAACAATGGGGAAAAGAGGAAAGAAAGAAAGAAGGTCACCACTGGGGCACACAGAGCCCTCAGACAAAGGTTTGTGCTGTTAAAAGAGAGAGGATAGAGAGAGAGAAGACAATGGGGGGGAGGGTTTGGAGTCTAAAACACATTTTAAACCCACACATGCTAAACCTACACATTTTAAACACACACATTTTACAACAACACATTTTAAACCAAGCAGCATTTAAACAAAACACATTTTAAAACAAACCAAGCAACATTTAAGCCAAACACATTTTAAAACAAACCAAACACCTTTTAAACCCACCCACCAACACCTTTTAAAACAAAAGAGGGGTCACTTAGCTTTAGAGCCCAACAGCCAGACAGAGCTTTGCAAAAAGTTTTCTGATTTTAAAACCAAAAAACTAAAATGCATTTTAGAGGCCAACAGCCAGACAGACCTTTGCAAACAGTTTTCTTATTTTAAAACCAAAAGACTAAAATGCATTTTAGAGGCCAACAGCCAGACAGACCCTTGCAAACAGTTTTCTGATTTTAAAACCAACAGCCAGCACAGAAACATAAGTTGCTGACGCCTTGTCAAGAAGACCCGAAGAATGAAGACGTTTTGAAAACAAAACAGCCCGTACAGTACGGTACCAGGCAGTCTGAAGTCTCTCTCCGTATCCACACTCTCTAACCGCTGGGGCAAGCGAGGTAGCAGACAATCAGCCTCTTCATTGACCAACAGTTAACTGAAATTTTAAATTTCCTTCCTTCCCCGCGGGTTCTTTTTTCATTCGTAACTCGAAGCTCCGTTCACATGTCAAAGCAAAATTTTGTGAACGGAGCTGTTCATAACTCAAAATGTTCATAGGTTGGGACGTTCGTAAGTCAAGGCACCACTACATATATTTTTTTACAAGACCACTAGCACTGCTATCTGTTTTTATATGGCTTTTCTTCAGAATGAACACCAGAAGATATGAGTGCAGATGTGAAAATATACCATTTATCTTCAGGTAACCATTTCTTAGCATCATCCCATTTTGTCTTCAGATTGTCAGCAGAGGATCTTCCAATGCAGATACAGTTCTATGTAGGCTTGGCTTATATTTCTTATATCACAGCTCTTCAGAAATTGCTGATCTTCTCTCTTCACTAGAAGCACTGAAACCAGGATGGATTATTGTAACTTCCGTGGCTACTGCCACTACTTGGGATATATTTTTCAATATACCGCAAGTTACATAATAACTTGGGATATATTGAAAAATATCCTATTTTTGTAAAATTCTAACAGCCTTGTGGGATTTTTTACTTCGTCTTTCTTATTTCCTAGTGTGACGGAATACGGGCTACGTGGAGGAAGGCTGGGCGTTTTGGAGGAGGGTTGTATAAACCTTAATGGCTTGGCATGCAGAGCATGAAAGCTGGACAGAGAGAAGTACAAGCAGAACTTTCCCCCCTCAAATAAAGTGCCTCCATGCCTTGTCATTGTGCCGTAGTGTTGGATGGTCAAGCAATCTAGATGTAAATTTCAAAGGGGAAGGGCCTGCAACACAAACTAACTTGTTTGCTTGTTTGTTTACATGCTGACCAATTAGAGAGTTTGTTGTTCCCGGGTAGGGAGGCTCCACCCCTGTTTCCGGCCCTCCTGGCCATGAGGTGATTCAACCACCATTGTTGGTCACCATTCTTGCACACGCTCTTCACCTGGAAAGATGTAAAGGTTCCATGCCGGCCCACTGAGCCTGGAGACCTCTCCAGCCACGTGGGGCCAGAACAGAAGAACATTGTATTCGCTATTTTTATTCCTGTATCTACCTGAAACCTTCTAAATGCTTATCTTCGTGAGTACAATATAGATTTCTTTCTTTTATACAAAAAGGCCTCCTGAGTGTTATTCTTGAGTGCTAGTGTTTGGTGAGGGGCAGGTAGAAAGGGAAACTTCTAGCTAATTCTGCCTGAACCGGCTGGCACTTCTGCTGTGCATTTGTACTGGAATTCAGTACAATACCAGAACTCTCAACACGTAGTTCAACTGCACTAAGCACAAGAATTTTAACACTATTAGTTGTATTTTCCCCTTGAAATGTCATCACAACAGGTGCTCCAGGGCCAAAAGAGTGGCAAATTCTGGATGGCCACTTCAGTAAGCATTTCAAAGGTAAAGGTAAAGGTAAAGGTTCCCCTTGACAATTTTTGTCCAGTCGTGTTCGACTCTGGGGGGCAGTGCTTATCCCCGTTTCCAAGCCATAGAGCCAGCGTTTGTCCGAAGACAATCTTCCGTGGTCACATGGCCAGTGCGACTTAGACACGGAATGCTGTTACCTTCCCACCGAAGTGGTCCCTATTTATGTACTTGCATTTGCATGCTTTCGAACCGCTAGGTTGGCGGGAGCTGGGACAAGCGACGGGAGCTCACTCTGTCGCGTGGATTTGATCTTACGACTGCTTGGTCTTCTGGACCCTGCAGCACAGGCTGCGGTTTAGCACGCAGCGCCACCACGTCCCACTAAGCATTTCAAGCAATATATTAATTACCTCTTTCTCTATCATTTTTTTAAGGTGGCGGATCTT